CCTCCTCGCCACCCGCCTCAAAGGAGGGGGGCCGCTGCGGGCTGGGCAGGCCCTGCGGGTGGAAGAAGTTCTCGTAGTACAGGTTGACCTCGGGGGGCTCCTGGCCGATGCTGGGGAACTGGGGGCTGCAGTGCGGGGGCGAGGGCACCGGGAGGTCGAAAGAGCTCATGCTGGGGCCGGGCTCCGGAGCACCTGCTGCCACCTGCACAGGGAGCTGTCCCTGCAGGTGCCGCGGCCCGGCTCCCACTTATACCCTGAGGGCTTGGCCGCCGCCCCACCCAGGGGAGGCCACCTGCGGCAGACCCGCCCCTCGGCCCAGCGGCCGCCCTGCCCATAGCCACCTCGTCCCGCTAAGGACCTGCCCAGACCTGCATCGCAGCAGAGGTTCCCTCTGTCGCCACCGCTCTCCTTTCTCAGCCTATTTGTCCCCTTTCCCTCCTTCCTTCATCTCATTTTTCTCTTTCCTCTTCTCTCCTTCTCATATTCCTCTCCCCTTCATGCCTTTCTCCTCTCTCTCCTGCCATCCTCTGTGCATGGTTTTCCTTCTTCCTTCCCTTCCCTGCCTCTCATGATGTCTTTCTCCCCTGCCCCCTCCCCTCATCCCTGTCCTCCTGGGCCCTGTGTCTCCCTCCTCCTGCTCTCTCTCCTCATCTGTCTCTAACTTCTGTCTGGGTACCTCTCCTCTCTCTCTCTCTCTCTCTCTCTCTCTCTCTCTCTCTCACACACACACACACACACACACATTTCCTCTGCGTTTCTTCCCCCATCAGGCTGTCCTGGCTTTCCCACAGACCCCTCATTCGCTGCCCCTCCCACAGCGGGTGAGACACAGCATCAGAAGCCACATTTTGGGTCTTGAAGTGAAGACATACTTGGTGGAGTTTCCAGGAAGGAACCTGGTTCTGGGAATCAGGAGAGCGGAGGGGAAAGGGCCAGGTGTATAGGTGACCTCCCATCACACGCACATGCATGCATTCACACATGTAGATGCACACACACATGCACACTGCATCTATACACATGCACACATTCTTACACACAGATGCACACACACATATACACGGACACGCACGCACACAGCAGCAGGCAGAGAATGGGCTGCAGACAGGTCGGAATTATTCTGCAGGAGCAGCTGGGCTCATAACATGACAAGAGGAAGAGCATGTGAGCTGGACTGAGGGACAAATGAGCGCGGACTGCACTGTCCCAGCTCCTTTCTGGCTGCAGGGACCAGGCAGGCTGGCAGCCCCTTATCTGATCAAAGTCCTTTCATGTTTCAGCTTGCAGAGGCCAAGGAGGGGGAGGGAGCTGGGCCTGGGGAGAGCCCTCCACCTCTCAGCCCGCCCAGCCCACCTCTGCCTCAGGCTCCAGGCACAGGACTCTAGCGCTCCCCCACCCCGCCCCCCCTCTCCAGGCGTTGCCACCAGGCCCTCCCTCTGGGAGCTCCAGCCTCCATCCTCAGCTGGGACTTGGCTTGTTCCACGCCCCCCTCACCCCAGGGCAGGCCCCAGCTTGGTGAGTGGGCGGTGGTCCCCTGAACAGACTTCCCTGGGGGTCAGCAGATGGAAAAGGTCCAGCCAGCCTCTCTGGTCACCACCTCCCTCCTGCGCTCACACCTCTGCTTCCTCCTCACATTCAACTTCCTCTCCCTTCCTCCAGGCCCCATAGGCCTTTGAGACCAAAGGAGGAGCCCACCTACTCCCCCAGCAGGAGGTGCTCCCGGGATCCTCCCTGCCGGTCCCTCTGCTCCCCTCTCCTGTGTGGAGACGCGTGGAAAGTGGAATGTCATGGATGGATCTCGTTGACCGCATCTTGGTCCCCAGAGGATGACGGGGTGACGGGGTCGGAGGGGTCCTCCCAGGCCCTGAGGAACCACCTGTCCCCACCCCACCACGGAACAGCCAGAGCGTGAAGGGTGGCTCGGAAGGGGCCTGATTGCATGTTCGTCCCAAAGAGTAGAAAGCAAAGAGGCCACACTTTTGGATCCAGGGTCTCCACGAGGCCTGGCTGCTGTCTTTCTAAAGAACAGTCCCCGTGGGACCCACCAATGCAGACCACAGCCTCCCCCTCCACTCGTGGTCGTCTACCCCGCCCCCCGCCCCCCATTAGCCAGAGCAGGCATAGCTCCAGGGCTGCCCACCCCAATGCTACCTATGGCCAGAGCCATACAAACTGTAATTGACCCGAATGTCCAGCAATAGGGGGCCGGTCAAATGAATTTCTCACCATCCAAACGATGAAAGCGACTGTAGCATATTGTGGAGAGATGTGTAGGTTCTAATAACATTGGGATACTATTGAGATACCGTCAGTGGCAGGAGATGGGAAAAAGTGTATATTCATTCATGTGTATGAAATATATAAATAAAAGTACCAAACTGTCAATTATGACTTCTGCATGGGAAATTGGGTGTGATTTCAGTTATTGTTATTTCTCTGTAATTTCTGATTTAAGTGGTTACACAAACGCGGGTCATTTGCTTTGGGGGTTCGAGGTAAAAGGCCAGCGAGAGGCAATGTGGTAAAGACAGAGGGCACAGGGCTTCTGAAGTCAGGGGACCTGGGTTCAAACCCCGGCTTTGCTGCTGAGCAGCTGTGCAAACCTTGACACGTGACGTCACATTGTTGGCTTGTGCTCTCAGGTGGAAATGGGAAGGGTGCCACTTTGCTCCCGTGGTGGCCGTGAGCACCCACGGAGGAGCCCATGTCACCATGTGAATCATTTCCCACGGAGCCCGGAGGCACTCGGTAACCATGGTGATTGTGGCATAGTCAGGGCACGTTCCATAGGTGTGATCACCCGGGTTTGCGATGCTCACTGTTCCCTCCCAGCAGCCTGCAGGCAGGGAGGGGTGGCGGGTGGGGTGGCAGCGAAGGACGGCCGGGTGGGACACGCAGCGCAGACACCGACTGGACAGCCAGACCCTGCCGTCTGAAGCTGACGGTCAGAGGGGCCTCGGTCACATGACCAGTTCACGGCTGTTCTGGGTCAGCACCTGTCCCCCCTCCTGTTCCACGCTTGCCTGCTGCTGGGGTGTCCGTCCTTAGCAGCATTTTTGGGGAATGCTCACCTGTGTGTCCCTGTCACACCTGGGCCCTGGTTCTTTCCCCCGGAGCCCCGTGGCTGGGACACTGCCTCTCCTGCCCTCCCTGCCCTCGCCACAGGGGCAGGGCTTCAGGCCACGGCGCCCCAAGCACCCCCAGACGCCCCCATTCCCGATTCCCTGTCACTGCACAGCCCTTGGGGTGGGGGATAGTGCGGCCTGTCCTGACCCCAGTGGAGCTTGGGGAGCTGCAGGCCCTGGAGCCCCATGAGTAGCCCCAGGACCTCTGGGTAAAAGCAACTCTCTCTCTAAACAGGGGTCCTTTTGTGGAATTTTCTTGGGTTTTGAAATCTTCCAGAAGTGGAAATCTCAGTCTGAGACGATGGGCCCTGACCAATGTCAGGGAAAAAAACACACAAAAAGTCGGGCCGAGGGTCCTGAGCCAGCCTAGGGCGAGCTGGGGCCACGGCTACAGTCCAGAGTGAAAAGGATCATATATTCTGAACCTCAAATTGGGATATTTGTGACAGGCACTAGAACGTCAAAACGTGGGCTCTGCGGTGGGCAAAGCTGGGCCCCAACCCCTGCTTTGCTCTTTGGCAGCTGTGTTTCTTATCTCAAAAGGCCTCCGTTGGCTCATCTATAAATGGAGCTGCAAACGGAACCTGTCTCGTGGATTTTGCGGGGAAAAGTGATGTGAGGTGGGAAGTGCAGAGCCCAGGACCTGGCAGCAGCTGATGGCGAGGAGGAGGAGGAGGATGCTGGGTGCCAGGGGACAGGGACTGACAGGGAGGTGGCTCAGGGCAGGGGTCTGTCCTCCTCTAGCCAGCATTCTGCCATTTGCTCTGACTTTGGGCAATTCCCTCCATGTGGGGCGATGCCTGGGGAAAGGGGAGGCCTGCCACTCTCTGGGTGCCCAGCAGTCAGCCCAGTGGACTGCCGGGTCCTGGAGCCCAGGCTTGGGTGAATGCCACGGCCCCACCTAGACTGTGGCCAGCCAGGGCCACTACCGCTGGCCCTGACTTTCAGGGGTGCAGGATTGTGTGGGGAAGCAGGCAGGGGGAGCACGAAGAACCAGAGACAGAGGAGGCAGGCGGCATTTGCACCGGCTACCGCTGCCCCACCCACCAGGCACGCAGGGAGCAGACAGCGCAGCTCTGAGGCCAGAGCTGCCGATTCTCAATGCCAACTCGACTCCTGAATATGGCACTAGAGTGCCTCAGAGAACAGCCAGTTGTCTGGATCTCAGTTTCCTCATCTGTAAAATGGGAAAGCCCAGCTCCCTCCCAAAGTTGCTTTGAGGACTAAGTACCAGGCACTAGCAGGTGCTCGGTGAATGTGGGCTCCCGTGAGGGAACTTGGGAGCCGAGGGTGAGGGGAGGTCTCCCCTGCCATCTCCATGTTCCCCTTTAACAGGGGCGTGGCTTCTGGGGTTCTCCTTTCTACACAGAAAACACCAGTACCTTCTGAGTTCCAGGATTCCCGGAGCTGGCAGGGTGGAGATGGGCTGGGGTGGGGAGTCAGGGGACGGGGGCTGAGCTGGCTTCTAGTTTAACCTCCCTGTGCCACCGTTTCTTTATCTGTAAAATAAGGATAAGAAATCACAGGTTTTCTACCTACTGCCCACAGGTATGTCTCTGTGAGCAGCAGCTTGCCTCCCGTCCTGCCCGGACAGTGGTCAGGAGGGCATGGGCCTCTGGGAAGCCTGGCCCAGCTGTCAGGCAGGCTGCAGCCCATATTGGTGCCATCTCCCCTGCTTTTCAGCCTCTGGTGGAGTGGCAGCTGGAGAATCACAGACCAATAGCGCCCTCTGGCGGCCATCTCTTTAAGAGCAGGGAGCAGAGTGCAGAGACTGGGTGGCTTTCAGGGCCAGCCAAGGGGGTCGAATCCCCTGTAAGGGGCAGGTCCCCAGGAGGACCTGCAGCGTCAGGAGGAAATGCACCCCTGGAGGGAAACACCTTAGCTCCGCTGGATTGGCAAGGAGGCAAAAGGTCTTAGAAGACGGCCAAAGGGAACAGCGGGACTGGTCTGGATTCCATCGCGACTCCTCCAATTACATTTTCCAAATGCTTTGAGGTTGCTTAACCCTGAGCCTCGGTTTGCTTTTCTGTAAAACGAGGATAAAACCAGGGTCACCTCCTTAAAGGGCTGTTGCAAAGACCGAAGGAGGCGACGTAGGAAATACCCCGGAAGG